TTTGTAGATTAGAAGACTATGGATGAGAGAATTGATGTCTTGGATCGAATCTTTCAGTTGCCTCCTTTTATTATTCATTACATCATGTCATACCTCTTTGCGAAAGAGGTAACTCAATCTTGTCAAAGAGATGGAATGATTTAAGTACGTCATTCCCCATCTTCGATTTTGACCAACCTCGTTACTGAAGAATGTCAGGATTTATTAAATCATACCGTCATGAAGTAAAGGAATTCATTGACATTGTTGATTGTAAATTGCTCAGGTTCTGCAAGCATAATTTATCTATGCTGAAATTTAGGCAATACAATATCCCTCAAAAGGATTGCAATTTCAAGTACTATCCTTGAGCACTTGCGAGTTTCATCCTGTCATAACTTAATGGAATTACATGCTGATACTTTCTTTCTTTTAAACTTTGTAATTTAGTTTGTTTTCTCTTTTTAAGTTATATATATTTTGGTTAGAAAATAACAAACATTTGAGGTTTGTTCATACAATAATATTTTACATTTATGAGTTTATTTCAAAAGAGAAAAATTGTATAATAATACATAGAAGATAATACTTATTTAAAAAAAGACTTATCGTTATAATTTATGCGATTCTATTTTTTTTTTATTAAACATATATGTAATATAAAACTATTATGTTGTGGATTGCATAATAAAGTTTGGATCAAGTGAGAGAATGTTAGAATTTTAATTTAATTAAAATTATTACATCATTGGTCCTGCACTTTTTATTAAAAAAAATAAAAAGTAGTTTTAATAAGTAGGTAACTATTGGGCAATTACATTATCCCATGGGAAAGACAACTACGTATATAATGGGAGAGGTTACAGGTCTCCATTAATGCAATTTTAACCCAAAAATCATGGCATTGGAAATTGCAGTTAATTGGAAGACTCTGTAAAACTTTTAGGAGTAAGAAGCGTGAATCCAGATTTGATATTCTACAACAATTGCTATGTTAAAAGGTTAGCATTAAAATTAAATTACTTCTGAAATATTTCATGAGTGTTTGTAACACGTGTATAATATAAATTGTGAACATATACATGTGACGATGGAATTGAAATATTACAAGATTTTTAGGTCAAAATCACAAAACGCACATTCCGTGAAACAACAGATTTTCTGCTTTGCATCTGGCCAAATACTCCAAACACGGGGTGTTTCTGGTCAATCTCCTACTTGTCTTAAATCTTTACTCCAATACGGGGTTGTTGTTTCTTTTTTTCATTTTTAAGGACTTCCAGACTTCAGTTTACTTTCATAAACATTTTCAATCACAATTTTTACAAACAATTGGACTTTCAGCTCCCACACCTAATCATTTCATTAAATATAGCCCTTGCTTTCTTTTGATTAATATTAGTGGTGCAAGGTTGCATTCTATTGGGCCTAATTTCCTAGCGGTCAAGATTTGTGCCACGCGTCTTTAAGGTGTATCACAGCTTGACGGTCAAGATCATCCAACGTGTCGTCCCATCAATGTTTACCTTCTCTCACGAGATGATTACTGTCATAAGCATGAGTTAGGTTGCCATTAGCATAACCCAGTATGTCATAAACATGGAGATTACTAACTTAGATCCTGATTAAAGGAATTATGCATGCAGGCAATCTAGTAATACCCACTCTCAACCACTGTCAGACGAACCAAGTATAAAAGAAGCCTACAACCTCTGTTTCACAAGACGATTCCAGTTTTAGTGAAGTTCGAGATGAAAACACACTCATACGTGTAAGAGAGCGTTTAGAGAAAGAAGGTCGCGAGAGTTAAATGTCTTCCATTTAGCTCGCATATATTTCCCTTATAATTTCTCTCGATCCTGTAGCACCTCTAAGCAATAACATAACAATGGATGCAGTCTTGGTCTTTGTATAATCAAACCACTATAAAAATCTCTGTTGTTCTTTAGTTTTATATGTCGTTTTATCGACCTCACTAATTACTAGTAATCACGCACACATCTTACCTGGTCCCTCCCAAAGTCGATTAGGTATCTCATTCTCTGGTTGATATAAATTTTTGTATCAACACATTTAGACTTTTCTTGAAGGATTTTTTTGCAGGAAGGTCAAGGGGTTGGCCCACAAATTTTCCAGAAGACATGGTTGGGATCAAAGAAAGGAATGTAGCAGACCCATCAAGCCCAATGCTCCTTATAGAACCAACATCAGACTGATATTTTAGATTTTTTGTTTGAAATATTTTGCGATTATAATTTATTTTCCCTACAATTTCCTAATAAAATTTTAATTTCCCAAAAGAACACCAATAACATTATTTCTCTTATTTCTCACTTTTCACAACATATGCATCAATTACAATCAAAGAACATATCTAAGACATTAGAGCATTTTCAAATAACTCTTTATATGACACAAACTCTTTATTATAAAGAGTCTATCCATAAAACAAGAGTCCAATATACTCTTTATCTTTAAAATATAAATTAGAGAGTGAGTTTGACTCTCTACATTTAGAGAGTCAAATTTCACTCTCAATCCTAATTTTAATTAATAAACTACAAGTTCCTATACATTTTATTTATTAATTCTCTCTCTCATTAAGTCTCTTTTTTAAAAATAAAGATCATCTTCATTAAATTTAAAAAGTATATTGGATTTGAATAAAAATTGTGTTCTTTATATTTAAAAATTAATGAAAATACTCTTTATTTATATGAAAGATACTCTTCAAAATAAAGAGCACAATTGGAGATACTCTTATATAGCGTTTAAAAGTAGCTTGGAAATAAGTAACATCCTTATCCAAAAATCTTATCTAAATATCGGATGTCAATAGCATTAAATGATGATAATCATAATTAACATAAGCATATATACTAGAATGACATGTAAGAAATTTAAGTCAAAAGGATCCCATCCCTATAATTAAAATAGGATAAAATTAGGGGGACACATTCTTAATAACATAAAACGTTATATTTATAGCATAAAACAACAACATGATATATGCAGTCAAACTGATAATGAATTAATGATACAATATTAAATATAATATAATAAATAAAGATTATAGATAGATGAGTTTTGCAAACATATATAATGTTTAAGTTCCATAAAACCAGTCTCACTTGCACCATCACCACATTAACATTAAGATAAGCATATATACTAGAATGACATGTGGAAGGATTAACATGTGTATATTAATTTTTATATTTTTGGTTTCCATTAAGAATTAATAGAAATGAATGAAAAAAATTATATATATATATATATTGTCAAAAGCGAGAGAGGCAAGAGAGACAATAAAAACGAGATAGCTTGAGTATGCCAGAGAAAGAGTGAAGAGTTTATATTTCTATATGAATTGTGAGTTTGTACAACCTCAATTTATACAAATAATAATAATGATGTTCAAGAAAGGAAATATAATTATCTAATTACATGAAATCAGGGAGCTTGATTGATGCATGAATTGTATAGAGCAATCTTAGGGATTAGCCGTAATTGTAGTAATTGGCATGATTGCAGTGATTAGGCATGATTTTAGCATTTACATTCCATATTCCTTCACACTCCCTCAAACTTGTGGTTTGTAGATGTCATAAACTCCAAGCTTGTGCAATAGATGTGAATGTTGTTTGCTACATAACGAATTTGTGAAAATGTCCGCTGGTTGCTCCAAGGTCCTAATGTAATGTGCAAAGTCATAATCATACTTCCTGAATCTTTTCTCTGGCGAAGTGACAGTCAATCTCTATATGTTTTGTTCTTTCATGAAACACTAGATTTGTTGCGAAGTCGTTTGTAGCTTTGTTGTCGCAATTTAGAGTGATGAGACCTTTTCCTTGTACCTTTAGATCCTTTGGAAGCCCAAGAGTCCACAAATGATCTCACATGTGGTCTTGGCCATGACTCTGTATTTAGTCTCTACCGATGAAAGAGTAACGATTGATTGCTTATTTGTTTTCCATGAGATAAGTGATCTTCCAAGTTTTATATAGAAACCAGTGAGTAATTTCCTTGTCATTGGGCATATAGCCCAATCTAGATCACAATATGTTTTTATTTCCAAATTTCCATTCCAAGGCAAGAGAAGTCCCAGGCCAAGGCATCCTTTCAAATATCTAAGTACCTTCATTGCTGCATCCATGTGGGATTGTTTGGATGCATGCATGAATTGACTAAGGATGTGAACTGCATAGCTGATATCTGACCGTGTCATTGTAAGGTAGATAAGTCATCCCACAAGTCTCTAATAGTGTGAGTGATCGTTTAGTGGTGAATCATCTTATAAAGGTGATATCCCGTCATATTCTCGAGAGGCAAGCTTAGTATTTTACTTAACAGGTATAATGTTTGGTTTAGAAGCTGATAATCCAGAATCATATATGAGCTCCAAAACATATTTGTGCTGAGTGAGAGATATACCATTTGGAGATCTTGCAACTCAATTCCCAGAAAGTATTTTGGCTCTCCCAGGTCTTTGATACGGAATTGTTTGTTGAGATACTCTTTTAGTGTTCTGATGGCTATCTCATCATTTCCGGTAATCAAGATACCGTCGACATAAATTATGAGAGCGATGAAAGAATTACCTTGTTGCCAAGAGAAAATAGTATAATCGTGCTTAGATTGTCAGAATTGAGAGGACAAGAGAGACATTTTGAAGAAAGCTGAAGTATGCATGACAAATATCTTTATATGTATTCAATTGTATTGTATTGAATTATTTTTAATTGTGAATACATCACCTATTTATACAAAAGTTTAGCTATACAATAAGAAAAAAAAAAAATGTATTACACTTAATCAGAGAATTGATTGATTGAGTGATTTTGGGTGATTGACGTAATCTTGGTGATTAGCCACAATCATGACATTCATATTACACCACAAGTTTGTGTAAAGATGCAAATGTTTAGTTGTTTGCCATTAGAAAATCTAACTGAGTATCTTTTTGAATTGCAGGGTCAGAAATAGAGGTTAGCTAAGTATTGTATGAATCGAGTATCTGTATGAATTGTAGGGACAGAAAAGAGAGGCTAGTTGAGCAGAAACTAATTCAACTTAGAAGCTCTGATACCATGTTAGAAGCGAGAGAGGCAAAGACAGCTTAAGTGTGCCAGAGAAAGAGTAAAGAGTTTTTATTTTTATATGAATTGTAAGTTAATTTGTACAACCTCAATTTATAAAAAAAATAATAATAATAAATAAACAATGTTCAAGAAAGGAAATATAATTTTCTATTTACATGAAATCAGGGAGCTTGATTGATGCATGAATTGTAGAGAACAATCTTAGCCATTAGCCGTATTTGTAGTAATTGGCATGATTTCGGCATTTACATTCCATATATATATATAAGTTCAGATCTGGGTTTGACTTGCAAAAATAAGGAAACTGAAGGCAAAGAATAGGTAAGAAAATGAGTGATAGTGTGAGTAATCCTCCAAAATTTCACTTTGTTTTAGTTCATGGATCGTGTCATGGAGGGTGGTGCTGGTTCAAGATCCGTTGTCTTATGGAAACATCAGGATACAAAGTCACTTGCGTTGACCTTAAAAGCGCCGGTATCGATCCATCTGACCCTAACACACTCTTCACTTTTGCAGAATATAATAAGCCACTTATTGAGTTCTTGTTTAATTTGCCTGAGGATGAAAAGGTTAGATCTTAATCTAAATAATATTGGTTCATTTATTTCTAGCTGGATGATATTAATTGAAGGCATAAATTTTCAGGTGATATTGGTGGGTCACAGTGCAGGAGGTCTGAGCTTGACGGATGCCTTACACAAGTTTGGTAGTAAGAAGATTCAAATGGCCATTTATGTTGCAGCCAACATGTTGAAGTACGGTTTTAATACAGATGAAGATGTCAAGGAAGTAAGTTTCATTGTAAAAGTACTTAAATATTAAAAGTTTAGTTTAATATTTAAGTGGTTGATAATTGATGGTTTCAGGCAGTCCCAGATTTATCAGAATACGGAGATGTAGAAGAACTAACGTTTGGGTTGGGCCCTGATAAGCCTCCGACAAGCATCATAGTGAAAAAGGAATTTCAGCGAAAAATCCTTTATAATATGAGCCCTGTGGAGGTGAGAAGTTCTCTTCATATCCTATATATTGTCATTTTTTTTTAATGATCCGGATGTCCAAATCAGTTTATGAAGAACTCGACTAATTCTTTAGGATCCTAAAACTGCCAGTCGAGTAGGAGTTCCAATGGCTATTCTTATTAACAATCGAGGAGAAACTTGAATTCAGAACTTCTTGAATAATATACCTAAAAGTTCTTATTAAATCACTCTACCACCCATAGGTTGATTTATATATTGTCATTTCTTCTCGGATGGTTGGCACTCTAATACTAGGGATTTTATTGATTCATTCTCAACTTTAACTGGTCATCTTAAATTTTATTTTATTTTTTTTTTATGTTTGCAATATAATAAAAGATTAATTCATGATCTATCAGGACTCTACTTTGGCCTTCATGCTTCTAAAGCCAGCACCTGCAATGGCCTTCGGAGATGCTAAATTCAAAGAACAAGGATCAGCCGCTGATAAGGTGTCTCGTGTATATATTAAGACATTGAATGATAGAGTAATCAAACAAGAACAGCAAGATGCTATGATTAGAAGCTGGCCCCCATCGGAGATATTTGTTATTGAGAGTGATCACAGCCCTTTTTTCTCCGCCCCGTTTATTCTTTTTGGCTTTATAATTAAAGCAGCGATAACTTTAGTTGAGTAATCCGAAAGTATCATGCATTAACCACCTCTGGTGCCATGATAAAAGAGCATAAGTAGATTCTATGAGTTTTTGGGTTTGAGTCCCTCCAACACTAACCGGGGTGGCCTTTGGGGTTTTTATCTTGTTAACAGTTTCAAGATCTTAGAGGATTAGCTGAGGTACACGCAAGCTGACTCAGACATCTTAGGTATTAAAAAAAAGTATTATACATTTAAATCCGTTATGCATTGGAGTTTAAATCTTTAAGAATATTGTATTTGGTGGTTTTTATTTTTAAATAAATTCAGTAATTTGATTTTATGCTTTGAAAATACATAAAAAAAAAAAAAAAAAAAAATTAGGGAACTGTCTTTTAACCCCCATCTAATTTATCATAGTCCTCCATATTTAAATATTTTTTTGTTGTGGCAAGTTTATCCTTAATGAAAATTACTAGAATAAATTAACAATACATAATAAAATTACTTTTTTTGGTTTTTTAATTTTAATGCTTCACTAAACCTAAATTTTGATAATTATTGAAACCTTTTGTTTTATTCAAATATATTTGTTTGATGAATATATTACTTAAACCTAAGTTTCAAATTTGAAATTAAGAAAAATGGATATTTATAAAAAACCTAATTAAGTTACAAGGTTATTTTCGCTATTAAATGAGGTTTAAAAAGATTTTTTTTTTTTTTATATAAAAAATGTACTATTTAGAAATTTGATGGGGCTTAAGAATTACTTTCAAAAAAAATTGAGTGTATGTTATAAATTAATGAGGCTGGCCGAAGATTTGTAAGGTACCGACAGGAGGCCCGTATGCCCAAAATGAATCCAATTAGCTAATGATTAAGACTAAGGAAGTGATTTTAGACCCTGCATATTTTATCTTTAGCCTCCATCTTTTACCTTAGATAAGGTCTTGGGGTATAACAGTATTTAAAAAATATTAACAATGGTTTTTAAAAATTCTAAAAAGTAAACCACTGTTCCCACCCAAGGTTTGCCTTAATGAAAATTTCCACCAAAAAGTTTCAAATTACCACTTTCCCACCCAAAGTTAATATTCGTTACTATCCAAAGTCGATTCGATATATTTCGGCGGCAAAAATTGTCTCCATCACCACCATTTAAACCTCTAGTCTCCTATCTACAAAACCCCTCTCACCCCAGCATCTGATTTCTCGTCAATTACCGGCATCATAAAGCTAGGGTTTCCTGATTTCCAGCTAATTTCGACGACGAAATTCAATTAGTCACCACCATTGATCCACGGCCTTCACTCTACAAAACCCTTCTTACTCTGACTCTTGGTAACTCGCTAATGCTAGTTAAGAAAGTGAAATGTATTTTGGGTATTAATGGATTATAAGCTTGGGTGGGAAGTGGTATTTAAAACTTTTTTTGTGGGAAAGTGTCATTAAGGCAAATTGGGTGGGGAGAAAGCGTTTATTCATTCTAAAATTGGAAGAATTTAAAATATGTAATTATTTTGCCGAGATCTGAAATCTTTCACTATTTTCTATTTACATGTCATATCTAAAAACACTCTGGAAACTAACATAAACACATTGTTTGATTCAATTTCTAGTAATTTCTTGGTTATTTGATCAGTTTTCAAACAAGTAATTATAATAACTTCCTAAATATAAAAATCAAGAGAAGAAGAAGGAAGAAGAAGAAGAAGAAAAACTATAAACTCCAAAATTAAAGAAGATTAATGTGTTGAGCGTGATTTTACACCATGAAACACACGTGTGAAATATTGAGCTAGCCCAAAAGACACACGTGAATGTAAAGGAAAATGACAGTAAATGCAATGGAGATAGTTTTTAAAGTGGTTTGGATGCTAAAGTAGCAAGTCCTACGTCCACTGATGTTTGATTAATGACAAGGGTCAGGTTGCGTTAGCGGACTGACTTACAAATATTTACAAAATGAATACAAGAGAGAGAAAGCTATATATCTTTGAGAGAGAATAGCATCAAGAACAATAATGTGCGAAAAATCCTTTTAATGAGAGAGAGGCTCTCAATTTATAGTGGGATGCATTGAGATAACGATCACTGATCTGTAAGTTTGTGGGATATTCCATGCAAATCCTTCTTTATGTCACATTGCCTACCTTCCAGAGTGATTTGCGCGATTTAGAGCAAAGATTGACACGTGGATCATCACAGCTTCTGATTGGCCAACGTGCACCCATTATTCTGACAGAAGCAGGCTGTGGGTGTACCCATGATTCTGATTCTTGCAGGACGTCAGCCATATATTTTAGGCATAACAAAGTGGTAGTGTGTTTGCTTTTTCGATATTTTCTGATATTTTTGATAATGCCCTCACATCACATCTCTGTTTTGACGATTATGATGTTTTTATTTATTTTCTTTTCGTTAAACTGATATATGAATTTTATTTAGTTTTGTAGATTAGAAGACTATGGATGAGAGAATTGATCTTGGATCGAATCTTTCAGTTGCCTCCTTTTATTATTCATTCAATCATGTCATACCTCTTTGCGAAAGAGGTAACTCAATCTTGTCAAAGAGATGGAATGATTTAAGTACGTCATTCCCATCTTCGATTTTGACCAACCTCGTTACTGAAGAATGTCAGGATTTATTAAATCATACCGTCATGAAGTAAAGGAATCATTGACATTGTTGATTGTAAATTGCTCAGGTTCTGCAAGCCTAATTTATCTATGCTGAAATTTTGGCACATACAATACCCTCAAAAGGATTGCAATTCAAGTACTATCCTTGAGCACTTGCGAGTTTCATCCTGTCATAACTTAATGGATTACATGCTGATACTTTCTTTCTTTAAACTTTGTAATTTAGTTGTTTTCTCTTTTTAAGTTATATATATTTGGTTAGAAAATAACAAAAATTTGAGGTTTGTTCATACAATAATATTTTACATTTATGAGTTTATTTCAAAAGAGAAAAATTGTATAATAATACATAGAAGATAATACTTATTAAAAAAAGACTTATGTTATAATTTTTGCGATTCTATTTTTTTTTATTAAACATATATGTAATATAAAAACTATTTGTTGTGGATTGCATAATAAAGTTTGGATCAAGTGAGAGAATGTTAGAATTTAATTTAATTAAAATTATTACATCATTGGTCCTGCACTTTTTATTAAAAAAAATAAAAAGGTTTTATAAGTAGGTAACTATTGGGCAATTACATTATCCCATGGGAAAGACAACTACGTATATAATGGAGAGGTTACAGGTCTCCATTAATGCAATTTTAACCCAAAATCATGGCATTGGAAATTGCAGTTAATTGGAAGACTCTGTAAAACTTTAGGAGTAAGAAGCGTGAATCCAGATTTGATATTCTACAACAATGCATGTTAAAAGGTTAGCATTAAAATAAATTACTTCTGAAATATTTCATGAGTGTTTGTAACACGTGTATAATATAAATTGTGAACATATCATGTGACGATGGAATTGAAATATTACAAGATTTTTAGGGCAAAATACAAAAACGCACATTCCGTGAAACAACAGATTTTCTGCTTTGCATCTGGCCAAATACTCCAAACACGGGGTGTTTTGGTCAATCTCCTACTTGTCTTAAATCTTTACTCCAATAAGGGGTTGTTGTTTTTTTTTTCATTTTTAAGGACTTCCAGACTTCAGTTTACTTTCATAAACATTTTCATCACAATTTTTAAAACAATTGGACTTTCAGCTCCCACACTAATCATTTCATTAAATATAGCCCTTGCTTTCTTTGATTAATATTAGTGGTGCAAGGTTGCATTCTATGGGCCTAATTTCCTAGCGGTCAAGATTTGTGCACGCGTCTTTAAGGTGTATCACAGCTGACGGTCAAGATCATCCACGTGTCGTCCCATCAATGTTTACCTTCTCTCACGAGATGATTACTGTCATACATGAGTTAGGTTGCCATTAGCATAACCCAGTATGTCATAAACATGGAGATTACTAACTTAGATGATTAAAGGAATTATGCATGCAGGCAATCTAGTAATACCCACTCTCAACCACTGTCAGACGAACCAAGTATAAAAGAAGCCTACAACCTGTTTACAAGACGATTCCAGTTTTAGTGAAGTTCGATGAAAACACACTCATCAGTGTAAGAGAGCGTTTAGGAAGAAGGTCGCGAGAGTTAAATGTTTCCATTTAGCTCGCATAATTTCCCTTATATTCTCTTCGATCCTGTAGCACCTCAAGCAATAAACAACAATGGATGCAGTTGGTCTTTGTATAATCAAACCACTATAAAAATCTTGTTGTTCTTTAGTTTTATGTGCGTTTTATCGACCTCACTAATACTAGTAATCACGCACACATCTTACCTGGTCCTCCCAAAGTCGATTAGGTATCTCATTCTCTGGTTGATATAATTTTTGTATCAACACATTTAGACTTTTCTTGAAGGATTTTTTTGCAGGAAGGTCAAGGGGTTGGCCACAAATTTTCCAGAAGACATGGTTGGGATCAAAGAAAGGAATGTAGCAGACCCATCAAGCCCAATGCTCCTTATAGAACCAACATCAGACTGATATTTTAGATTTTGTTTGAAATATTTTGCGATTATAATTTATTTTCTACAATTTCCTAATAAAATTTTAATTTCCCAAAAGAACACCAATAACATTATTTCTTTATTCTCACTTTTCACAACATATGCATCAATTACAATCAAAGAACATATCTAAGACTTAGAGCATTTTCAAATAACTCTTTATATGACACAAACTCTTTATTATAAAGAGTCTATCCATAAACAAGAGTCCATATACTCTTTATCTTTAAAATATAAATTAGAGAGTGAGTTTGACTCTTACATTTAGAGAGCAAATTTCACTTCAATCCTAATTTTAATTAATAACTACAAGTTCCTATACATTTATTTATTAATTCTCTCTCTCATTAAGTCTCTTTTTTAAAATAAAGATCATCTTCATTAAATTTAAAAAGGATTGGATTTGAATAAAATTGTGTTCTTTATATTTAAAAATTAATGAAAATACTCTTTTTTATATGAAAGATACTCTTCAAAATAAAGAGCACAATTGGAGTACTCTTATATAGCGTTTAAAAGTAGCTTGGATAAGTAACATCCTTATCCAAAAATTATCTAAATATCGGATGTCAATAGCATAAATGATGATAATCATAATTAACAAAGCATATATACTAGATGACATGTAGAAATTTAAGTCAAAAGGATCCCATCCCTAAATTAAAATAGGATAAAATTAGGGGGGACCTTCTTAATAACATAAAACGTTATATTTATAGCATAAAACAACAACATGATATATGCAGAAACTGATAATGAATTATGATACAATATTAAATAATATAATAAATAAAGATTATAGATAGATGAGGTTGCAAAATATATAATGTTTAAGTTCCATAAAACCAGTCTCACTTGCACCACACCACATTAACATTAAGATAAGCATAATACTAGAATGACATGTGGAAGGATAACTGTGTATATTAATTTTTATATTTTGGTTTCCATTAAGAATTAATAGAAATGAATGAAAAAAATTATATATATATATATATTGTCAAAGCGAGAGAGGCAAGGAGACAATAAAAACGAGATAGCTGAGTATGCCAGAGAAGAGTGAAGAGTTTATATTTTCTATATGAATTGTGAGTTTGACAACCTCAATTTATACAAATAATAATAATGATGTTCAAGAAAGGAAATATTATCTAATTACATGAAATCAGGGAGCTTGATTGATGCATGAATTGTATAGAGCATCTTAGGGATAGCCGTAATTGTAGTAATTGGCATGATTGCAGTGATTAGGCATGATTTTAGCATTTACATCCATATTCCTTCACACTCCCTCAAACTTGTGGTTTGTAGATGTCATAAACTCCAAGCTTGTGCAATAGATGTGAATGTTGTTTGCTACATAACGAATTTGTGAAAATGTCCGCTGGTTGCTCCAAGGTCCTAATGTAATTGCAAAGTCATAATCATACTTCTGAATCTTTTCTCTGGCGAAGTGACAGTCAATCTCTATGTTTTGTTCTTCATGAAACACTAGATTTGTTGCGAAGTCGTTTGTAGCTTGTTGTCGCAATTTAGAGTGATGAGACCTTTTCCTTTTACCTTAGATCCTTTGGAAGCCCAAGAGTCCACAAATGATCTCACATGTGGTCTTGGCCATGACTCTGTATTTAGTCTCTACGATGAAAGAGTAACGATTGATTGCTTATTTGTTTCCATGGATAAGTGATCTTCCAAGTTTTATATAGAAACCAGTGAGTAATTTCCTTGTCATTGGGCATATAGCCCAATCTAGATCACAATATGTTTTTATTTCCAAATTTCCATTCCAAGGCAAGAGAAGTCCCAGGCCAAGGCATCCTTCAAATATCTAAGTACTTCATTGCTGCATCCATGTGGGATTGTTTGGATGCAGCATGAATTGACTAAGGATGTGAACTGCATAGCTGATATCTGACGTGTGCATTGTAAGGTAGATAAGTCATCCCACAAGTCTCATAGTGTGAGTGATCGTTTAGTGGTGAATTTATAAAGGTGTATCCGTCATATTCTCGAGAGGCAAGCTTAGTATTTACTTAAACGGTATAATGTTTGGTAGAAGCTGATAATCCAGAATCATATATGAGCTCCAAAACATATTTGTGCTGAGTGAGAGATATACCATTTGGAGTCTTGCAACCAATTCCCAGAAAGATTTGGCTCTCCCAGGTCTTGATACGGAATTGTTTGTTGAGATACTCTTTTAGTGTTCTGATGGCTATCTCATCATTTCCGGTAATCAAGATACCGTCGACATAAATTATGAGAGCGATGAAAGAATTACCTTGTTGCCAAGAGAAATAGTATAATCGTGCTTAGATTGTCAGAATTGAGAGGACAAGAGACATTTGAAGAAAGCTGAAGTATGCATGACAAATATCTTTATATGTATTCAATTGTATTGTATTGAATTATTTTAATTGTGAATACATCACCTATTTATACAAAAGTTTAGCTATACAATAAGAAAAAAAAAAGTATTACACTTAATCAGAGAATTGATTGATTGAGTGATTTTGGGTGATTGACGTAATCTTGGTGATTACACAATCTGACATTCATATTACACCACAAGTTTGTGTAAAGATGCAAATGTTTAGTTGTTGCCATTAGAAAATCTAACTGAGTATCTTTTTGAATTGCAGGGTCAGAAAAGAGGTTAGTAAGTATTGTATGAATCGAGTATCGTATGAATTGTAGGGACAGAAAAGAGAGGTAGTGAGCAGAAACTAATTCAACTTAGAAGCTCTGTACCATGTTAGAAGCGAGAGAGGCAAAGACAGCTTAAGTGTGCCAGAGAAAGAGTAAAGAGTTTTTATTTTTATATGATTGTAAGTTAATTTGTACAACCTCAATTTATAAAAAAAATAATAATAATAAATAACAATGTTCAAGAAAGGAATATAATTTTCATTTACATGAAATCAGGGAGCTTGATTGATGCATGAATTGTAGAGAACAATCTTAGCCATTAGCCGTATTTGTAGTAATGGCATGATTTCGGCATTTACATTCCTATATATATATAAGTTCAGATCTGGTTGACTTGCAAAAATAAGGAAACTGAAGGCAAAGAATAGGTAAGAAAATGAGTGATAGTGTGAGTAATCCTCCAAAATTTCACTTTGTTTTAGTTCATGGATCGTGTCATGGAGGGTGGGTGCTGGTTCAAGATCCGTTGTCTTATGGAAACATCAGGATACAAAGTCACTTGCGTTGACCTTAAAAGCGCGGTATCGATCCATCTGACCCTAACACACTTTCACTTGCAGAATATAATAAGCCACTATTGAGTTCTTGTTTAATTTGCCTGAGGATGAAAAGGTTAGATCTTAATCTAAATAATATTGGTTCATTTATTTCTAGTGGATGATATTAATTGAAAGCATAATTTTCAGGTGATATTGGTGGGTCACAGTGCAGGAGGTCTGAGCTTGACGGATGCCTTACACAAGTTGGTAGTAAGAAGATTCAAATGGCCATTTTTGTTGCAGCCAACATGTTGAAGTACGGTTTTAATACACATGAAGATGTCAAGGAAGTAAGTTTCATTGTAACAGTAGTTAATATTTAACTAAATATTAAAACTTTAGTTAAATATTTAAGTGGTTTATAATTGATGGTTTCAGGCAGTCCCAGATTTATCAGAATTCGCAGATGTAAATGAACAAACGTTTGGGTTGGGACCTGATAAGCCTCCAACAAGCATGATAGTGAAAAAGGAATTTCAGCGAAAAATCCTCTATAATATGAGCCCTATGGAGGTGAGAAAGCTCTCTTTATATCTTTATATATATTGTCATTTCTTCTCTGAAGGTTTGCACTCTAATTCATGATCTATCAGGACTCTACTTTGGCCTCCATGCTCCTAAAGCCAGCACCTGCAATGGCCTTAGGAGATGCTAAATTCGAAGAACAAGGATCAGACGCTGATAAGGTGAGACGTGTATATATTAAGACCTTGAATGATAGAGTAATCAAACAAGAACAGCAAGATGCTATGATTAGAAGCTGGCTTCCGTCGGAGATATTTGATATTGAGAGTGATCACAGCCCTTTTTTCTCCGCTCCCTCTATTCTTTTTGGCTCTATAATTAAAGCTGCAATAACTTTAGTTGAGTAATCTGAGAGTATCGTGCATTAATCACCTCTGGTGCTCACGATAAAAGAGCAAAAATAGGTTCTATGAGTTCTTGAGTTTAAGTCTATCCAAACACTAATAGGGGTGGTCATTGAGGTTTTTATCTGATCATCAGTTTTAGGGTCCCAAAAGATTAATTGAGGTGCATGTAACCTGGTTTTGACACCCTCGATGATAAAAGAAAAATATATTATGCATTTAAATCTGTTATATACTGGAGTTTAAATCTTTAATTTATTTTTAAATAAATTCAGTAATTTGATTTTATGCTTTTTTTAAATATGTAAAATTAAATTAGGGAAGTGTCTTTTAACCCCCATCTAATTTATCACAGTCCTCCATATTTATATATTTTATTGGTTGTGACAAGTTTATCCTTAATGAAAATTACTAGAAATTAACAACACACAGTACAATTACAATTTTTTTTTTCAGTTTTTAATTCTTACATAAACCCTAAATTTTTATAATTATTGAAATATTTTTGTTTTATTTCAAATATTTGTTTGTTTGATAAATATATTACTTAAATCGTAAGTTTTAAATTTGAAATTTGAGGAAAATGGATGTATACAAAAAACTTTGATTAAGTTTACAAGGTTACTTTCAATATTAAATAGGGTTCAAAAAGATTTGATTTTTAAAATATAAAATAGATATATACAACTATCTCTGAGTGATTAAGTGGTTTGATAGAGACTTTTAGTTGTATTATTTAAGAATTTCTGAATTCGAGTCCTTTCTTGGTTGATAGTAGGGGTAACTATTAGAACTGTTACTTGACCAATAATTTTAGAGTTTCATGAGATTAGTTAAAGTGCATATAAGCTAATCCGTATACCTCGGTCATAACAAAAAAAAAAAAAAATACTTTTTCGAAAATATATAAGTGTATGTTATAAATTAAATGAGACTGGCCTAAGATTTGTAAGGTACAGGAGGGCCATGAGCCCAAAATACAAGGCCTACATGCTCAAAATGAATCCAATTAACTAATGATTAAGACAAAAGAAGTAATTTTGAGACCCCGTATATTTTATCTTTAGCTTCCATCTTCTACCTTAGATAGGGGTATAATAATATTAGAAAAACATTAACAATGGTTCTTATATAAATTCTAAAAATTGGAAGAATTTATACAATTATGCTCATTATTTTGCTCTAGATCTGAAATCTTTTAATATCTTCTATTTATACGAAGTTGTCATATTCAAAAACATAAACACATTGTTTAATTCAATCTCTAGTAATTTCTTGGTTATTTGATTAGTTTTTCAAATTAGTATCATGTCAAAGAGATGGAATGATTTAAGTACGTCATTCCCCATCTTCGATTTTGATCAACCTCGTTACTGAAGAATGTCGGGATTTATTAAATCATACCCGTCATGAAGTAAAGGAATTCATTGATATTGTTGATGCTAAATTGCTCAGGTTCTGCAAGCATAATTTATCTATGCTGAAATTTAGGCAATACATGGGGTTGAATCTTATTGTAAAACCTTTGCATTATCGCGCTGGTAAAGAAATTGACTTCAAACCATGTAAAAAGGTTTGAAATCCAATAAAAATACCCTAAAAATTACCATAAGTCCATACAAGTTTGAAATTCTACAAAAACACCCCAAATTACATGCAGCATCGACAACCCAGGCCAAATAGGGCTTGTTTCCAACGTTGACAATACACCCCATCATTGCGAAAAATCTTTTCTCAGCCACCCAACCAAAACCCATCTCACCCTACCCTTATTCACCTCACCAATCGTCGACAATAGCTTGCTGTTTCTAGCGATCGACTTTACTATTTTCGATCTCGTTTCACTCACCATAAATCACCCCCGTTGCCACCTTTCGACTCACCAACCCTTCCTCTTCAAAAGCCCCAATATCTCAATCACCAATTGTTCGCCGATTATCGTCCTAATCTTTAGGGTTTGCCAAGAACATTCAAAATTGAAAACCCGTCCAGTGAAGGCCTTGGGTCCCAGTTCAACCGGTCAGGCCGGGTTTTAAAACACAAGTTTTATATGTATGGGAGTAATAGACCTCGCATTGAAAAAGCTATCTTTAACATTTGTCAACTTTACAGACCAAGAGTTCCACAAGTTAATCTCGAAATTTTCTTGGCTTGAGCGTTTTATTTTGGACAAGTGCAAATCCCTCAAAAGGATTGCAATTTCAAGTTCTATTCTTTATCACTTGTGAGTTTCATCCTGTCATAACTTGGAGGAATTAGATGTGGATACACCAAATTTGGTTATCTTTGATTTCAAAAATAACCCTCTTCCCAGCCCCACTTCTTCGCTAAAAGCTCCATGTCAATGTTTGAACTTTAGTTCTGATATTGACTTTGAATATCAGATCAGAGGTGCCTAAATCTTAAGGCAATTTTTTGGAGCATCAAATCAAATTGAAGATCTAGAATTAATATGAATAAAAACACACACCTAGTAGAGCATCAAATCCAACCCAAAAGGGCAAAATCCCTTATTAAATTACTAGAGAAGCGGAAAGAGTTCTTAACAATGTCTGGAATTAACAAGAATCTACACAAAGTGAGAAATTCATCAAAGAGAGAGATCAGCCAAGTCAAAAGTTCTTTCAACCGCTCTGCACCAAGATTCTGCCTTCCTCTTTCTAAGTTGTTCCTCTAAGGCAGGCTTAAATCTGGTGGAAGTCTTTGCCTTTTCTCCTGAAGCAAATATTTCTTCCTCCTTCCATACCCCAACTGCTAATCCAGCTGCATATGCTGCTCCAAGAGCTGTTGTCTCTATGTCCGCCGGTCTCACCACTGGACTTCCCAACAAATCCGCCTAAAATCATCACAAAACATCATAGAATTAAGATAGGCCCATAAATCATCAAGATAACAGTTAAAAGAATTGCCTATGGAGCTTCTTTTTATACGTTTTAACTTCAATTGAGACACTCAGACGATTAGCGAACTCTGTTTTGTTTAGTAAAACATCAGTTTGAATTAAAAAAAGCCACAGTAACCATCAGAACTGTCAATCGAACCTTCTCATTATCCTTGCAAGATTAAACAACTAATGTTGCATTTAAATATGAGAAGCACACAAACGCAAAACCAGAAAAAAAATTCTGAATAAAGGTTAGTTAAAATGGTTGCAAAAATCAGAAAGAAACATTACTAAGAAAGGAATCATTCAGGAAGGGAACAACAATGGGAAGATTGATGACAAAAAAATAGAATACAAGAACAATAGCTATCGGTGATATAGATGAAAAGCTACATATGACAGTGAAAACCAGAACAAATAAAAGAAAAAAGAGTGAAATCCAAACCTGAATTTGCATCAACAGGTTATTAACAGTAGCACCTCCATCAACTCTGAGCACGAAGTGAGTCTTCTGACCCTTCTCCATTGCATCCTTCTGCATTGAATCCAAAACATCATTCACTTGAAAACACATGCTCTCGAGCACAGCTCGAGCGATGTGAGCCTTACTTGTAAACCTTGTAATTCCAATAACAATCCCACGTGCATCATCACGCCACCATGGCGCAAACAATCCATTGAAAGCAGGTACAAAATAGACTCCACCAGTCGAATCAACCTGCGAGGCCAATCCTTCAATGTCATTTGCAGTGGTAATTATCCCAAGACTGTCTCTGAGCCACTGAACTGCAGCACCAGCAATCGCAATTGAACCCTCTAGAGCATAATTAGTTGGTGCTTCTGGACCAAGCTTATAGGCTAAAGTGCTTAAAAGACCATGTTTTGACTGAACTATCTCTTCACCAGTGTTGAGAAGTATAAAAGCACCAGTACCATAAGTGCTTTTAGCCTCGCCTTTTCTGCAAGCCTGCCCTAACATAGCTGCGTGTTGGTCTCCAAGACATCCTGAAATTGGAATCCCAGTAATCGGCCACCCTTTGCCAATTTTTCCGATAACCTCAGAGTTACTTACAATTTTAGGTAGAATTTCGGCTGGAATTCCCAATGTTTCAAGGGTATGTTTATCCCAGTCAAGAGTTTTAAGATTCATGAGCATCGTCCGCGACGCATTAGAAACATCAGTGACATGCAAACCACCATTCACACCACCAGTTAAATTCCATATCAACCAAGTATCCATCGTTCCAAACATAGCATCCCCTGACTTTATAGCTTGTTTAACAGGATCTACGTTTTCCATTAACCATATCAGTTTCATTGCACTGAAATAAGTGCTAATAGGCAAACCACATGTCTCCACAAAATGGGTTCTTCCACCACTCAATTCTTTCTCCAATTTCCTGTAACAAATACATGAACATTAAACATCAAGACAGGAAATTCCAGAAACCGCAATCGATGACTAAAACCTGATAATACTTAACCTAAATCATAATCAGGAAATCCACACAAAGAAAACCAACCAAATCCCAAAAACAAAAAAAACTAATTCATAATTATCATTTTAAAGTGATGACTAAACCATCAAATTGTACAAATAACCCCATATTTAAAAAAGATTTCTGATTCCAGTTCAAATTTATACCATCTAGAAAAAGGGCATTGATCAAATCCCAAAAGTATCCCAGATCTTCAATCTCCAGAACAATCAATATGACATAATACTGACAAGAAACAACAAACAAACAAAAACAAGATGAAAACCTGCAAACCGAACTGGTGCGAGCATCCATCCAAACAATAGCATTATAGAGAGGAGAACCGGTGGATTTGCTCCAAATAAGAGTAGTCTCTCTCTGATTGGTCAACCCGATGGCCTTCAATCCACTGTCCACATTGTGTCCGTCAGCCGTCGCCTTGTCCAACGCCTTCGCCATACACACTTTCACACTCTCCAGTATCTCAACCGCATCATGCTCCACCCAGCTATCACCCCCAACAAAAACAAATCAAAATCATGCTCAAAAACCTAAACTTTATGCTAAAAAATCTTAAATTTAAGCAAATTCTTTAAAACAAGATCGAGCATACCCGGCTTCTGGGTAGAACTGAGTGAACTCGACCTGGTGACTCCCGATGGGACGCGCCTTCTGATCATAGATGATGAACCTCGAACTGGTGGTGCCTTGATCAATGGCACCAATGAATATCTCCTCCTTTGACATTTCTTTCTTCGTCTTCCTGGGTTTGGTCGTTCAAATCTCCAGTTATATGGGAAATCACAAATCACTGTTATTTAGCAAATAAGTGACAAAAGAGGGAGTCAAAGACAAAAGTTGATGAGAAAAACTAAGAACAATTTCTTGGAAGTGCAGACAAGTGTTACCCAAATCAAATCAAATTATAGTTTGGATTACAATTGTCCTGCGTTGAGTGCTTCCCCTTATCATTATCTTCAAATGGATATTCGTTAATATAAGAAAATCCGATCAATCAACAAGTCAACATCAGCAATCAATGGCTCACAGATCAAGAAAAAAAATCTAAAAAACAACGAAATTATATGTTTTAGTTGGCAAATAATGATAACCTCAATTCTAATTTATATTTCCTCAGCTTGAGGATCTCCTTTAGTTATGGAATTTGTTTATAAAAATTCAGGTAATTATAATAATTGTTTATTAAAGATAAATAAACGAAAATGATTGGTTGAAATTGAAGACACGGAATTATAGGAGTAATAATTCGAGAGAAATTAAAATAAAAAGAGAGTTGGGATAATAACTATTTCATCCCTAAAGTTTCAATTACCTTCACTTTTGTAGAATTCTAGTAACATTTCAGATCCTATCATCAACATTTTAGTCCCTTAAATTAGTTTATTGTAAGGACCAAATCGTTACTCACAACATGGACTAAACGTTATTAAAAAAATTTAAAAGACTAAGGCTAATTTAAAACAAACCTTAGGGATGTTATTACTTTCCCCAAAGATTGGTTGAGAAATTTAGGCGGAAAGCACGAAGCAAAATTTGGGGATGGTATATCGCTAAACCACTGGGTTGGTGAGCTATGGCCAAGTGGAGAATAATAATTCGTTGGTGATTTGTAATTGCCGTCACTTTAGTTGACCTTGACAAAATTGCACGGTATGCTTGTGTGATGTCACGCGAAACTACTTTACGCGCTCGTGACTACGTACACGAAAACGTAAATAAGTATTGTTAGTGTTCAAAATAGGGACTTGTATTATTTTTGAGGTTTTGAGTTTGAGTTATTTTGATTGTTATAAAAATAATTATTAAAGGGTATATTTGGTATTTAACTTAAGGGTCTCAGAAGTAAATTTAATCGTTAACTTCAAGGCTTTTGAAGGTGTATCTGATTGTTAACTTTAAAATCCTGAAAAATTAGTCAAGTTACGTACAAGCAGGCCCAAACACTTCCGATCACAAAATTTATTACAATTAAATGAATTTATTTTTGAGTTAGGCTATTATAGCACCAATTTTCTACACAAATTTGTTACATAAATTGAATTCGATGTCTTTAATTTAATGTAATTTAATAGATTTAGATGTGAAGTTGGAGTTAGTTATATTTTAACTTTTAACATCAATTAAGCAATTTTTAAACCATTAGATTATCATAAATCAATAATCATAAATTTGCGTCAAAATTTTCTATTATAATAGCTTGATCCTTTATTTTTTTTTATACATCCAATAATAAAATTCTTTGTAATTTCCTATTAATTATACACAAAATTTTAGTAATTTAAGTCATTAAATCAGTGTATTTATGTTTGTCATTAAGAATCACGTGCAATGTACGTGGTTAGTTGAGCGAGTTGTATAATTTGACTCGCAACTCATTTCGTACTGGCTCAATAAAAGTCGAATTTAATGACCACTAGACTTTTGTGATGTACGGCTCAGATCTTCTATTTAAGTGGGTCCTGAACTAATAAGGAACCGAATTTGTGGGAGATCTGATAAAAAAAATCTCACATTTTATGTTGTTTAATGTTCATATTATATTTCTATTTTTTTTAAAATATAATATTACAGAGTTTATACAAAGTGACATTATTTTTGGATTATTATGTCATTCAGGTATTTATTAATTTTAGCTTTTATATTAAATCATCTATTATAATCTATCATGTCAATTTGTATACAAGAATATGAATTTTCTTTATGTATAATGTTGTTCTACTATAAATTATATGTATTTATATATATCTTTCATATTAATATGAGATTTGTTAACTATCTCTGGATGGTTAAGTAATTCGATAAGAACTCTTGGGTGTATTACTCAACAGATTATAAGTTTGAGTATTTCTTCTATTGTTGATAAAGGTAGTTACTAAAACTCTTATTTGATCGATAATTATTTAACCTTTTCCTTTTTCATATTTGTGATAATAAAAAAACCCTTCAATATAATAATATATGGCCATTAATTTCCTTGTCAATCATGTTGAAAAATAAGTTGCGTAATGGCACTTTAAATAGCAGCAAAGATGGTTAACAACTCTACCAAATTTCCAGCTGCAATTATAAAAGTTTTCTTGACTAATTCCAACTGATTTTTTTCTTGAATCGTATGTCATTCTGAGTGACGGTGGTTTTCATATTCTAAACTTTTTTGGTCACGGGATTTATTCATTTATTTATATGCTCTGGATGTTCCTTTGCTTTGTGGATGAACTTTTATCTTCATTTTAATTTATATTTTATATTCTAAATCTATCTTATATCCTAACAAACGAAAAAAATCAATCAATTCAATAATTAAATAAAGATGATATAATATAAATCAAATGTAATAAAAGGAAGTTTTTTTTTTTTTTTTTTGTTTTCAATGATGTTATTCTATTTTAAATAGGTTGTATTAAATATATTTATTATCTATGGAAGAAAATAACATATTTTTAATTCACCAAAAGATTGCAAATGACTGATAACAAAATTTTCTCTAATTATTCTTGAAAAGAGGATAAAAGAAAGGGTTTGATTCGCTAAAAGATTGCAAATGACACATAACATATTATTTTTATTAATAGTAAGAATAACAGTTGATATAATAAATAATTATATTTTATGAAACAAAAAATACGAAGAGTCAATCTCCTAGTCGGATCTAGGTAAGTAATTGTTGATGCGTTTTTTCGCACCAACGAGAGGTACGTAAGCCTTCAGAGAAGTCTAAGCATGAAGACCGAAAAATAGCAAATATGATGCTGAACTAGTAGATTGGTGTGATGATGTGTATAGAAAAATTAAGTGCAAGACAGTGAGTAACAAACTAAATAAGAGCAGTTTTTAAAGTGGTTTGGTTGTAATAAGTAATTCTTATATCCACTATTATCTTATTGATGTGTTTATAACACAAGATATTTGGTCTTAGAGAGAGAATTTCTCTATAGCTCTTAAGAAAATAATCCTTGATTTGGGGAGAGAACCCCCTATTTATAGTATTTCGAAGGTTATCTTCGGTATGAAGCAATCCAAATGTAATCGAATATGTGACACCAAACTGATTGGCTTATAGATGAAGTATTCCACGTTGATACATAACTTGAAAGACAAATTGTAACCTTAAGGATGAAGTACTCTACATGCAGGTTGACATATGATCTTAGAGAGGTGACTGACTTCCTTTCTCTTGAAGCTTCACATGACTTTAAAAGAAATGTCTTCTAAGGATCCAACATATGCCTTGATGACAAGGTATTTTGGGGGACACGTGATGATGGCTCAGTTTATAAGTTTTTACCACCTAACAATTACCTCCCAGTTTTTGGAGTTTGAATTCAAGCTTTAAAAATTCAAAACTTTTCGAGGTTGTGAACCGTCTTTGCGAGTTGACAAACTAGTGCAGTGGTTATTGCTAGTTGATGTTGTTAGCTGTTGTGAGCTATAGGAGCTTGCATCCTCTCTTTCGTACATGAATTCCAGAGTTGGTTGAATGTTACCGCATTTGCCGAGAAGTTGGTGCTTCAGAGCGAGCAAGACATGTCATCGTCCATCAGCGAGCTATTCAATGCGACGTCTAACTTCTCACGAATTGCTTGTCTGAGTCATTGTTGTCGCTTCACAAGGTATATGGGACGTGATATGACTGTTGAGATCCTGACAGTTAGTCTTTCAAATACTTGTTTCATTTACAGGGAGAGATTTGACCACCAGCTAGAGACTTTTATGTGCATTTAATGTAGACGCGGTTGGTGCAATATGTACCTGCACACTGAAACAACATTACCTTTTTGTGGATTTAATGTTGGACAAGCGGTTGTGCATTTCCCTACATTCTTTTGGTAGTTACCTACCCCCATTTCTTCGATCCTGGCCACATGTGCGTGATGGACAGTTGGGGATGCAATTTGAGCGAGTATTTAAGAGGGAAGTGAATTGATTTTATTCATTATCAACTTAGAGAAACCCTAATCTTCGATTTGACCCCATTTTCTTTGGCCAAATTGCTGCTACTACTATTGGGATTTCTTGTTTTCTCAACAAATCTCCGGCATTATTTCCTTGGTGCTTCTTTTTCAGCAAAGGTTTATTGCCTCTTTCTTTCTTGAAATTTTATATTTAGGTATTTTTCATTCTTGCCGTGTTTTGTGAACATTTTTTGGGTTGTTTTGAATATGGGTAGTTGTGTGTTTGAGGCAATTGTTCAATATTTGAAGTTTAAAGTTTGAGGATGAATATGGAAGAACATTTGTTTTTCTAGAAGCATTTGAAGATAAGTGTGAGTGATTTCTGGGATCATTTTGGAATTAGTGGAGAGAAATGGCAAATATGATGCTAAACCGATAGGTTGGTGTGATAATGTGTATAGAAAAACTAAGTGCAAGACAATAAATAACATACTAAATAAGAGCAGGTTTTAAAGTGTTTCGCATGCAATAAGCAATTCCTATGTTCATTGTTATTTTATTGATGTTTTTACAACACAAGATATTTGGTTTTAGAGAGAAAATTGCTTTGTAGCTCTTAAGAAAATGAAAATTTGGATCCTTGATCTGGGTAGGAAACCCCTTATTTATAGTGTTCCGAAGGTGAACTTCTATATGAAGTAGCAATCCACATGCAACCAAACATGTGGCGTCATACTGATTGGCTTATAGATGAAGTAATCCACATGCGGGTTAACACGTAGTTTAGCAGACAACTTGCAACCTTAAGAGTGAAGTACCATAATAACATTGTGGCTTACTTGGTTTTTTTAGACTTGTAGGGTGTTTGGATCTTGAAGATTAGTTAAGGTACACGTAAACTGATCTGGACACCTCGGCTACCCAAAAAAAAAAAAAAAAAAAAAGCATTCTTTACATTTATAAATATTATTTCTTGTTAATAATTTATGTTGTAATAACCTGATCTTATATTCTTTTATACATCCAATAATAAAATTTGTAATTTCTTATTAATTATACACATAATTTT